GTTTGGGATGGAGCAAATGAAAGAACACAAGGTGCAGAAATTTGGGACTGTTTGCTTTTCAAAATTGTTGAGTGGGATCATTGGATTTCATTTTTTTGGTTGTGGCTAATAAACTTTTTGGAAAAATTTCCTGAAACTTTACTATATTATTCTTTGTGATTGGCTGTTTTTTTTTTTTTTTAAATTCTTAGGAAATAATTGGGGTACTTCCAAATTTGTTTCAATCCAGCAAGCATTTTCACTGCACTGTCCCCATGTTGTTTTTACCGGTAGTTGATCTGAGTGTCTAGTACTAGTGCACGCCAATTTCAATGCAGTATGACTGGAAGTGCAAAAATTAACAAGATATTCATCTTACAGACAAAGAATTGGATATAAATATGTTATCAAACTAAGATGCAGCTTTCTACCCTTCCCTGTAGTACTTTTGATTAACTTTTTCTAAAACAATTTTATATGACATGCACGATGACCAGAAACTAGTTTTATCGTTGGTTGTCAAGAGATCTACATCTAAAACTTTTGCGTTATGACATGGGGTGAAAATATTTCTTTCATTACCAAATGCAACTTAATTCGTTGTCTTAAATTATTTTGAAAATCTGGAATTCAAAACATTGATTATAAATGAAATAATGTACCGGATTTTAAAACGCAGGCGTTGACCTCGGCTTACTTTTAAGTGACCTCTTGTGGGTTGAACATTTTCGGACTATTTCCGTAAACAGCAGGGCCACGTTACATTTTCATCGAAGCTACAACTAGGTATTTACACACACCACAAAGTAAGTCTCATCACTGGATAACGTTGTTCCAACCACAGTTCACCTGCTAAATTTTGAGTAATTTTGTAAAGAGCGCGTGTTTACATTGGACAAGTCGGTCGACGACCTGTCCCACTTTCAGCGACAAAACGTAAACAACTTCTAATACCATATACTCACGTTGAAAACGAGCGATTATTCACTGCACTTTATCGCTGACGTAAATAAGTGGTGGCTTGAAGATTTTTTGTGTGTGCAGACAGCAAAAAGGCACAAACTGGTAGTCATATTTGATGCAAGATATATGCAGTATGCCGCACGAAAACAGACTGAAAACTGGTTGCAACTGGAATATTTACTACTTTCGCCAGACACCGTTGGGGGCGTTTTTCTGGGATCGGGAACAACATTTATAACTGTGGGGTATCGCCATGCAAAGAGCTACTTGTTTCGTCCCACAGTGTGCATGCCCGTAGCCACGATTTTGCTTGAGGGGGTTCTTTTTACTCTCTGAGGGACCTCGAGCGCCAAAATAGAATTTTCAAAGGAAAAATCAGAGACACTCATATAACTGCTTCAGCCAATATTTTATTGGATGAAAAGACTTCACAATACGTATGTTTGCTTTAGAAGGCCAATTACATTGGCGGATTTAATAGATGGGGGCCGAGGGGCCGCCGCCCCCCTATTTTTAACAACCAACGTTGCTTCGAGCCATCGGCGCTCGTGAACTTGGCCTTAGGCCAACTTATCGCCCCCCTATTCCAGAATCCTAGATATCGATCCGCCCCTGAATTACGCCTCCCACAGGATTCAATCATGGACTGCATGTAGCACATTGACCAGCGCTGGAACAAGTTAATGTGCTTGCCGTGATCACTTTCTCCTCCAAACGTTTTACTGGCTTTGATACCACATTCAATTTGTATCCGACCACCGACACAAAAAAAAAATGGATGCTTTTCAACGCTCTTGTGTTTGAAATGTTTGCTTTCTTAGAAATGGTTCAAAACCACATCACGTCCGACGTCAGGCGTTATATGACTTTAGGGAACTGTGTCGGTTCTTGGTCATCCACAGGCCGCCAATTGAGACTTCCGGGCGCCGTTTACCATGGCAACGACCAGGCGTCACTTTTTTGACTGGCAGAATGTCGTCTGCCGAGCGCTGCTCGCTGCGGTCCACCACTTTCATGGCGTGACAGTTGTTTTTTAACGCGTACCGCGCCCCGCCCGAGCCTTTTATCAGTATAATGCAAACTCAGGAAGATCTTTACCAGTATAATGCGAACTCAGGAATAACTAACTTGGTTCATCTCTATTCTATTACAAAGTGAGCGATATTTCTAGGACTTCCAGCCTCGCTGGTTGCCAACCTTTGAAATCAGAATTAGTTAGTACTCTCGGGGGCGGAGCTACGTCACAAGACGTTCCTCATTCCTCGTTGCTAAGACGCGCACCACTGTACCGTGTATTTCTAGGGGCTCTGCGCGCGCTGCTGAGGAACGCGGAACGTCGAGCGTAAAGCCGGTGAAAAATCGAGAACTTGAAAACAACAGGAACTCAACTTTGAAGTAATTCTGAACAATCAAATTTATATGCTTACAACACGCAGGCTAATCTTGTTACACTGCTCAGGGCAGTCTCAACAACCATCCCAAAGTACCGTTTTCTAAGAGTTTTCGGCCTTTGTTTTCACCTAGCCCTGAGTACAGTTCTG